GAGAGAGGGACAGATGATTCCCCATGGACTCCATGCTGGAAAACTCTTCCAGAGGCAGCCAAAGCTAGGCACGAACTGTTAAAATGTGGATACAAAAAGTCATGTACAAAAAGATGCAAGTGTGTCAAAGCAAATCTCGAGTGTACACAGATGTGCTTCTGTTTAGGACAGTGTAACAGAGAATAAGCAAGCAAATCTGATCATATGAGACACTGACAGAGAACATTGAATGTTTTAACATAATACATGATACACCATTGAATTGCTTTTACACGGCACTGCACTGCGTCTTCATGAAATCTGATGGAACGACGTTTTTGCGGGCGCGCAGGCGTACCTTCCAAAGTGTAACAGAAATTATGAACTGAAGTATAGATGGCATACTTAAGTTGTTATCATAATTTTTCACGTGTTCTACCCAGTTCTTTGACCTAAAAAAACATTTTACATTGTTTTTGTTTAATTTGAAGATGTATGTTAGGATATTTCATGTTTTCCATCGGGTTCCTTGACATAAAACCAGGTATCCTATAACTAGATCCTGGTAATCGTGGCACATATAGCCATTTTATGGCAAAGAAATGCGTTTGTGGCAGCCATTTTGGATTTAATTTTTTTGGCAAAAAGATGTTATGATAGATCACATGTGTTCGATACCTGTTCTATGGGGTTCATTGACCTCAAAAACATATGTATATAGACCAAGATCATGGTACTTGGGGCACTTACAGCTGATTTATGGGCAAAACTGCGTTTTGTGGTGGCCATTTTAAATTTTCAACTTTTTGGCAGGAAGATTATATCTTATGATATTTGACATGTCTTATTGCATTCTTTGACTTTAAAAACATAGGCATATACACCAATATCATGGTAATCGGGGCACTTACAGCTGATTTATGGGCAAAAACATTTTTTCTGGCGGCCATTTAAATTTTTTGGCGAGAAACGTTGGAGTGACATTGTGTTTCCCGCAATTTTTTAAATCAGCATACTCAAAACCCCCCTAGAGCCAATTTTCATACTTCTCTCCAGAAGTGCACACCTCAGACACATATCCGCCCCACTAACCGGTATGAGGCAGAACACACCGGTGCATACCGGTATAAACTGGTAAGAAAGCGATGCCAGCTGAGAATACCCCTGCTTGCTGCTAGGGGAGAGGGGTGAAAGCACGCGACCAGGTAGCAACCGGGGCGTATATAGAGGGGGTAAGGGGGGGGGGTACTGTTCACAGTTCACAGCGAAAATAAACTGCTTTTCACATTTAACAGTGAAAATAATGCGGATCTACGCGGGCATGATGGGGATCGAATGATGATCAATGATCTGGATCTATACATGATATGCATAGATTCACGAGGAAAGAGACCTCTTATTCACAGTTCACAGACTAAATAAAAGCTAAATCACGCTTCACGCAAGGTGGTTCACAGTTCACAGACAAAATACATGGCAATTCACAGTTCACGAGGTATAAAAATGGCCAATCACGTATCACGAAAATACCCTTAGCCACCCTCTATATAAGGCGGCCGAAATGCCGCAGAAAGCAGAAGGCCCGGGGCAGCAGCCCCTAGGAGAACCAAGGAGCACTAGGAGAACCAAGGAGCACTGACCTCCCCATAGGAGCACTAGGAGAACCAAGGAGCACTGACCTCCCCATAGGAGCACTAGGAGAACCAAGGAGCACTGACCTCCCCATGGCGAGCACTAGGAGAACCAAGGAGCACTGACTTCCCCATAGGAGCACTATGAGAACCAAGGAGCACTGACTTCCCCATAGGAGCACTAGGAGAACCAAGGAGCACTGACTTCCCTATAGGAGCACTAGGAGCACCTCTCACGATTTAGTAGGAGCCCCGATACGGGGAGCACTGACGGAGGAGGAGGAAGGGGAGCACTGACCAATCGGAGCACGGACACTGCGTGGGAACACCGGCCCAGTAAGAGTACTGAGGGGCAGTCGACCGGAGGCAGACACGGAGCACAGTAGGGAGTGACGAGCTCACCCCGGAGAAGAAAGAAGAGAGAGGATAGAAGAGAAGATAGAAGAAAGAAGATAGAAAAGAGAAGAAAGAAGACAGAAGAAAGAGGATAAGAAGAAAAAAGATAAGAAGAAAGAAGACACAAGAAAAAGGATAAGAAGAAAGAAGATAGGAGAAAGAAGATAAGAAGAAAGAAGAAAGAAGAAAGAAGACACAAGAAAGAAGATAAGAAAGAAGAGAGAAGGAAGATGAAAGAAGAAAGAAGAAAGAAGAAAGAAGATAAGAACATAGAAGATAAGAAGAAAAAAGACCGAAGACAGAAAACAGAAGAAAGAAGAAAGAAGAGGGAGGAACGAGACATGGCGCGAGAAGAACGAAGAGAGAAGGAAGGAGAACGCCAAGAGCCGACGACAGGTGCCGTTACTTCTTATTTTTCCCTCCCGGCAATCTCAATAGATACGCCGGGTTCGCGGTCACGCCAAC